TCGGACAATCGGTCCAACTGCAGTCCGACAATCGGACAATCGGTCGGACAATCGGTCCAACTGCGTCCCGACAATCGGTCTGACAATCGGTCGGACAATCGGTCCAACTGCAGTCCGACAATCGGACAATCGGTCCAACTGCAGTCCGACAATCGGACAATCGGTCGGACAATCGGTCCAACTGCGTCCTGACAATCGGTCTGACAATCGGACAATCGGTCTGACAATCGGTCGGACCATCGGTCCAACTGCAGTCCGACAATCGGTTTGACAATCGGACAATCGGTCGGGCAATCGGTCGGACAATCGGCCCGACTGCAGTCCGACAATCGGTCTGACAATCGGACAATCGGTCGGACAATCGGTCTGACAATTGGCCCAACTGCGGTCTCAGCAAATCAGGTTCAAAGATGGACGCCGCAGCAGCTCTGGTGAGTTTAAAGCAGCTTAAATCTGTCGAGGAGCTGAAGTTGGTGGCAGCATCTGGATGGAAACTGGATCAAAGCTCCAGATGGAAACAGGAAGTAAATACAGACGAATGGTGAGGAAACCCGAAAAAAAACGGCCTGAAGTCAGGAATGCTCTGCTCCCCATCCCACGTCATTCCTGACCCCCGCAGTGACCCGGCATTCCCAGAGCAGCTGGGCTCCATGCAGCGCCAACACACACACACACACCAGCAGCGGTGTGTGTTCTTCCTCTGCTGTGTGAAGACGCTGATCCCTGGGCGGTCTTATGATGTGTCACAGGGAATCCCGAAGAAACGACCCGAGTTTATTTACCGACTAGAAAACGAGTCCAGACGAGTCCCGGCCTGATGGATGTGACTCGGTTCTTACTTCCCGTCATGACGAGTTTTCTTCTGGTATCATAACAAGTTATCGAGATCCATCCGGCAAGTACCAAAAATTATTTAAGTTTGCTTTCTTTTTCTTCAATTCATAGATTTTAGATGGATTTTAATGAGGAAGAAATATTTAAAAAGCAGCACCACAAAATCAGAGACTCTGAAAAATAATCCTGAATCCTGGATTATTGCAGAAATGCAGGAAGTGAGTTGTTATGGCTCCACAGGAAATATGCAGGACCAGGATGTGAGAACTCCAGTTCACTGTGTGGATTTAAGGTCTATATTAAATAAAACAGGGACTTGAGTTTCAATAGTTGGTTTTTATTAGGGAAGCTAAAAACTAAAGAGGCAGAAACGAACCACCAAACAGCAACGAGTTTAAGAGGCATGAAGTTATGATCCCCGTTTATTTACACCAGAAATATGCAGGAATAATCTGAAGGAGGGTCAGGAAATCTGGACACGAAACTTCAGGACGGCGTCAAAAAAGCATCAGAGACAGAAACGTCCAGGTTGATGTCCGACTTCACGAAGTAGGCAGAGACTTCCCAGAATGCAGCGCTGCGTCAAGCCCCAGAGGAACGTTTACCAGACAAACCCACATGCTCACAGAACCGGGTCTGAGCTCACAGAACCGGGTCTGAGCTCACAGGACCGGGTCTGAGCTCACAGAACCGGGTCTGAGCTCACAGAACCGGGTCTAAGCTCACAGGACCGGGTCTGAGCTCACAGAACCGGGTCTGAGCTCACAGGACCGGGTCTAAGCTCACAGGACCGGGTCTGAGCTCACAGAACCGGGTCTGAGCTCACAGGACCGGGTCTGAGCTCACAGAACCGGGTCTAAGGTTCTGGGCTCCAGAGAACCTCAGTAGAACCACGATCCACACCTGGACAAGGGGAGAACCACCGGCAGGCAAACCAACCAGAACCTCCAGAACCTGGTCATGCAGGATGCCACAGTTAGCAGGTTAAAGTTCTGGTCAGGACCGGTGCTGACCCGTTTGCTCAAAGTGAAAGCAGCAAACCTGAACATGAGGAACCACAACATTTGAATGTGACATCACTTCCTGTGATGTAGAAAATCACATCAGCTGAGTGGACAGATTTAACTCCCACATGAGAACCAGAGTGATGGCGAGTAGGCGGAGCTGCTGCCAGCCAATCAGACGGCTGCTTGGTGACTCCAGTGAGACGCCAACAGGTGTAGCCGTGTTGGGAGGTAATGATTTACCTGCAGGAGGTCATCGCTGAGGACTTCTGTCTTCTCTGCTCTGTGGGAAGAAAAGGCAGGAACATCATCAATCCTGTGATCAGAAACATAATCATAACCACCAGCAGGCCCTGAACGTGCCACACTGGTTTACTGTGTCTCTATGAAGCTCTAGTGATAAACACAGATTCTAATAAGAAGACAGATGTTGTGTTTCTGCTCTCAGTTTCTGGTCTTGGCTTCATGTCTGCAGAGACTCCAGGTGTCATGGCCGCAGCAGCCAGGCAGATCTGAGCCTATTAATAGCAAACTAAGCTGACGTGGAAGATTAGGTTCAGTTAAAGAATGAGGAGGGAACCGGGCCGAGTGAGGAACGACTCCAGGCTCACCAGAAACACGTTTATTTAGACTAAACCTGATTTATTCTAGGAGAAAAAACACAGAAATGATCAGACTGCTGAATGAACCTGCCAACATGTATGAGTATTAATTAGCACCGGGCCTAATTAACAGCAATCATTTTGATAATTACAAAGATTTTAACGCAGTCAAAAGTACTGAGCCGAAACCTGTGGATTTTGTTTCTGCTATGCCCATAAACCTGATGCACAGCAACATCCACTAATGATTAATTAATTACATAGATACATGGATTCTAACTCGATAAATCACAATTCATTTCTTTGAGATATAAAGGTTCTTTCATGCTTTCTTATCCGCCTGTAAGCCTGATGCTAAAGCTACATCGCTAACAGCAGCGATGGAGGCCGATTCTCTCCCTTAGTTTCTGTTTCTAAACGATTTGATTGGACGATAGAAGAGACTGTTATTGTGTTCAAGTGGTGCTAACAGCAGTTAGCCTATCAGAAGCCATGCTAGTCTAAAACAGCATCTGCATGCTAACATATAGCAGCTAATGCTAATGTTAGCGTCCAGATTTCTAAAGAAGCTCCATGAACGATGAGAGAAACTCTGAGATGAACTCTGATGTTCAGATCTGATATTTATGATGTTGAGTTTATTTGTCTATTTAATTGAACATTTAAAACCAACAACAGGTTTTTTGAATTGAAAATATTTATCTTGTTGATATAGTTTGAATAAAATGTGATTATATAACTACAGACCCAGAAATTAACTGTAAAACATTTTAATCTAGTATGAATCATGTTTATATAAACATGTTATAAAGTGAAGAAAGTAGGATAAATTACTGTATTAATTTACTGTGCCAGCCTGCGGCGGCAGCAGCAGCAGCAGCCAGCCTGCAGCAGCAGCCAGCCTGC